GCTCCACCTCTCTGTGTCGCTGTTCTTAGCCCAATACCTGAAGATGTTCCATAAATGGGTTCTCCTACTGCTACCCCTCATTTCTGGCCCCTCTTGGGTCCTCTCTTTGCCCTGTGTCTGGAGATTCAAAGCAAGTGACCCTAAGGGCCCCCTCCAGCCAGACCCCCTTCTCCTCCTTACAGACCCCTTACTTGCTTGGATCTGGCCGGTAGTGGGACCGTTGTGTGTTGTCCTTCTGACAGACCACTTAGGTGTCCGGAGCATGGTGACCCCTGAATAAGTGTGAACTACCTTTATCATAAGAGAGCACTTTATCAGTTGCCTTCTGGGCCTAAGGAGCAGCATGTGTATTTTGTTTACCCTCCCAGTTTTGTAAGAATTTCAAGTATCAGTATTTAAAGTTCAGGTGTTTCACATAAAATCTGAAGAGATCTGACTTCTCTCAAAGGGAAATCTGGGAACAATGGGCCACCGTCCTTCCTTGGCTGCCTTCGTTCAGAGCATGGGAGAAGCTATTTCGAGAAAGGTAAAGACAGAAGCAAGCTGGTATACCCAGGTAGGAGAAAGTTTGAAGAGCAGCCTTAATAGAGAGTGGAGGGAGCTAGATTGGACTAGGAATGAAGAGTGGAATTGAGGGTGTTAGGTGCAGGACAGGCTGGTCTGCCAAAGAAAGTTAGCTGCAAGATGACCTTGTTCTTTATTATCTGTTTGCTTCAAGCTCAAATGCCTAACCCCCATTCAAGGCTGAACACTTAACCCCCCTTGGGGCAACAAGGCAGCTTGCAGACCCAGAGACCCCATTAGATTTGGGCTATAAAAACTCCTTGTGCCTGTTCCTTCCCTTTATCATAAAGTTCATTCAGACTCAGGTGGGTAAAAGATTTCTAATCAAGCTTTTAACCAGCTTCTCCTCAGGAATTACCAACTCCTGGCTACTGATGATACCTCCAGTCGAGACCTATGCTGAATGGACTGACATCATCATGAATCTGTGGTGGTAAGGAACCTTTGTTGATCTAGTTCCTGAAGTTATACCTGTCCTCTCTCCCTTCCTGTGGGGGTTCCTTACTTCCCTCCTCTCTGATTCTCCCACACCGCCCCATCTCAGTGGGAAACAGCTAGAATGAGTAGATGGCCACTCTCCAAGGAGGGGGGAATGTTGGGAGTTGCCCCGGCTCCAAAGACTAACTTCCCCATCCCCCCCCCCAGAAGAGCCGTCCAATGGTGAGCCCTGCTGGCTCACATGATCCTTACCCACCAATCAGAAAGCACCCCATGCCAACTGTCAAACCATTCAACCATTAAACTGTCATAACTGTCAAACCACCCCTGGCTCTATAAATAAGCAGAGCTGTTCCTCAATAAATGGGCATTTTCTCTGACAAGGAGCCTTGTTCGTTCTTTCAGGTGGTAATGGCATAAGTTGGTTCACAACTTAATTTTTTAACAACTGATAATCAGTTATTAAAACAGTTGATTTAGTCACAAAATTACACTTCTTGAAGTCTTTATTTTCAAATGTGATTTCCCAAGGAGTCCATGTTGAATATGATTGTCAATGAACCTCTGATGAGACTATTTCACCTATTAGCATGTTTCTAGTAAAATTTTATTCAAAAACAAAGGAATGAGGAATTTGCAGTAGGCATCATAACATAATAACTGACACAGTATAATTACTCCATGGGTGGCATTGTATTCCATGCCTTCATTTATTAATGAGAATTATTTTATAGCCATTTATTTGTTAATGAGAATCCCATCATTGCAGTATTAGGGTACTTGAGGACACAAAGGCTAGATTGCAGTTCCAAGGTCCTACAGGCACTGCTACTACAGTGATAGTACTATTGGTAGTCATCACAATACTATGATTGATATAATATAATATAATGTGTTAGAATATAATTTAACACTCTTAATTTTTTACATTTCATACTCATATAACTCATATACAACAATACCAAAGTAAAAGGTTGACTAGTTGTTTAGAATTTACTGAAGAGTTGGAATGGAGACAATAATCATTCTGAGGTAAAGAGAAAATGACAATTGTACATTTCACATTCCTTTTTCCAGTGGCCAAAAGAGAAATCACCTAAAAAGGGGTGGGGGTGGGGAGGTGGGCAGGTCAATTTACAGACATATCCATTCCCTGGAGGTTCTTAGATTCATGTTGTCTGCCTCAAAGAAAAAGAGATCTCCTTCAAAACCTCTCAAAGCAATTTTTTCATCTTTTTTAAAGTAATTCATATTTTTATTTATTTGGTCATCTTTTATACTTATTTATAGATAATAATTATACATAATTATGGGGTAAAAAGTGATGCTTTTATGCACACATGCATTGAGGAATGAGAAAATTAGGCAAATTAACATATCCATAACTTTATATACTTATCTATTTTTTGGGTGGTAGCACCTAAAATTCAATTTGTAATTTGAATTGTACAATACATTGTGTTTTATTTCTAATTTATTTTAAAATTATTTTTCAAGAAAGTAAAATACAGATAGAGAAAATAGCAACACAAACACTTATGTAATTACTACTTGGATTAAAAGAGAGAGAGCTTGGACTTGCTTCTTTATCTACTTACAAGTCAGCACAGTGTAGACACAACCACAATTCAATATGTTAGCAATACTAATAATGTCAATATCTAGCCTAGATACTTATCACCTGGCTGTGCAGTAGATCTCCAGAATTTATTCCTCTTGTTTAACCTGAAACTTTACCTTTTAATAAATCTTTCTCCTTTCCCTCACCTTCCCCTCAGTCTATGGTATCTCCATGCTACTCTCTATATCTGTGAGTTCTAATTTTTAGAGTCCAATTTAAGTGAGTAACTCACACCTTGATTATGTAATTTGATATTCCCCTAAGATCATTGCCATTCTAGCCCCATGGCCTTGTGATTCCTTTCCCACTCTACTTGGCACCTCTGTCTTAACTGACTGGAACATCCCTACATCTTCTGACATGTTGATCCCCAATTCTTGTTTCTCTGCTCCCCAACTCAGTTAATGTTAGAGTCTGTAAACAAGTCAAAATAACACCTGGCATTTTGCCAGGGGAATGTTAGAGTTTGTAAACAAGTCTGGATGGTGCCTGGCAAAATGCCAGAGGGAGTGGTTTGAGAAGTAACAAAAGCGAGCCATTAAGTGTGGAGATTCCTTATTGGTTGACTGATGTATCTAGTTTATGTTAATTAGATAAGCTGTGTGGAATGTATAAATACTGCTCCTGTCCTGCAATAAAGGGCTTCCACTCCTGCTGTATCAACGTACACAAGTCGTTCGTCACCCCCCTGATTATTCTGCTGCAGCCGGACTACAGCAAGTTACTGAGGCTCATTCTGCTGCCCATGAGAGCCCTTCGACTACTAACTTTGTAGCTCTTAACAGCTCTAATTTTGTGACCTCTAGTCAGATCCAGTGTTCTCCATCTTGATAATCTCATTCCCACTCACTCCTTTTCTCTGCTCTGTTCAAGTCTCTCACCAGTGACGTGCAAACCATTAATATTGTCATCTCTTCCAATTCTGGCCCCAACTTCATTAATTTTCCTAATTCTATCACAGAAAACACCATCTCAACATAGTCATCTTCTTTCTATCCTAATTTACCTCTTACCAATATTTTTTGTCTTCTTTCTAGGTTGGCCTCTGGATCTCATTTAAGAATCACACTGCTTAAATACCTCAGGAGTTTATTAAAAACCTTTTCAGTTATACCACATATTTTTGGCTTGTAAATCAAAAGTAATATATAAAGCCTTTATGGATTTGTTGAATATAAGAAACATTCAGCAAATATTATTTGAGCACTGCTAAATTTATTTGAAAATTAATTTGAAAGCTTGCAGTGATGAGAGTGACAGGCACTATGCTGTGCAGGGCTTCAGTTCCCATTGCTACTTCAGTTGATTTCATTAAGAGACCCTCCCAATTCCCACCATGAGTATTTTTTCAGAGAAAAAAGAGAAAATCATCCTGTTCAAGAACACCTATATCCTTTATAATTTTTCTTTTTCAAGACTTCTGAAAGCTAGCATGGTAACAAATAATCTTTATTACCAGCTACTTGGGACACTGAGGCCAGAGTATCATAAATTTCATCTTAATGAAACCCCACCTCAGAAAAAAAATAAAAAGGTATAGTTCATAAATAGTGTGCTTCTTGACATGTGCAAAGCCAGGGTTTAATCCACAGGCTTACAACAAACCAACAGAAAGCTTGTGGAGATCATAGTCTGTTGATCTGAAAATGATAATATATGTGTACCTCTATGGCAGACAGAGGAGATTAAGTCAGCATGCCTATCTCTCATCTCTGAAGATCCAAGTTGTTTAGTTGCTGTCCCTTGGGCTGTTTTAACTTCCCATGAAAAGGTAGAGACTGTACCCGCAAAGGGAAACCAAACATTTCTTTTATGTAAAAAATGAGGAAATTTTCTTCTTTGCATCAGAATTCCTTTAGGTCATCAGCTTTGAGAACTGAGCCACAAGGTATAAGGGCAATTCCCTTAGTAATGCCATAGTATAAAGAGCCACAAATCTGTCTGAATTGAAGATAAGCACTCCTTTATATTTTTGAATATGAAAAATAAATTTTTATTGAAATATTAAAACTCAATTAAGGTTAATTATTATTAGATTTTTTAAAAGTACATATTTTTTAATTTTTTTTTCTTTAAAAGATAGTATTTGTAATCATTAATGGCTTAATTAAATTTGATCTTGTCCACAGACTGGTCACATTTACATGGTTATAATACATTTTGTTTCAGTTTTAATCCCTCTCAAAATCATACAGGCTTTGAAGACCTAAACTTTGTGAATACCTCAAAGTTTTGTAACATAAACAGAGAAGTTCCAAGAAACCAGGAAGAAGAAAGTGTTTGTGTATGCTCTGGTTACTGGTGTGATCAAAATTGGTCACTCAGCTACCTCAGTTGTGGCGGGTAGAGACACGGAGTCAACACATAGACACTGGGAGCTGGTGAGAGCTGGCAGGTTTAATGTGGAAGTGATTACAATTGATGTAGAACGCATCTTCCAATCATACACAAGCAAGCAGGTTATACAACATCTAGAAACCAATCATCTTATGATTAATGTAGCCACACTATGAGGAAGCTCTAAATATTGCTATGCGGTGGAAGGCAGACTGGAAGGATCATTGTCCCTAGGGGAGGGGGCCTTATGAGTCTGGGATTTCATGCCCTGAAGCACCTAACTCTCAGTTTTCTGGCCTTGTAGCTTGGCAACGCTGACCTCAAGCACTGAGAATGTGGTTTCACTGATGGTTCGCCAGAGCAGATCACCCTGTCCTGCAGGTGTTCCTGTCAGGTCTGTACAAACAAGGGTTTTCCTAGCACTCTGAGATGCTCATAGCTGCTAGGTGTAAACTGAAAGTTATTCCAACATTTTCTCCCTTTTTATTCAATTTTTTGCCAAAGGAGAACCATGCTGAGAGAAGAAAGGAAAAAGGGAAATAACCAAGGAAGAGAAAGGAGAAACACCTAAATATAGCCTTTTCTTGTAGCTTCAGTTGTTTCCTGCTGTGGTGAGGCAGCCACTGTTGAGTAGGTCTCTATCTGTCTCTTGGGTCCCGATCGGAGCTGGGCATCAAGAGCAAAGCAGCCATGGGGGCAGGAGACCCCTCTCAGATGGGGTGAAGACTTAGGTCTTTGCACAGTTGGTGGGGGGTGAGGTTCTGTGATTCACCTCTGTTCGTCCCCAAGTTTTCTCCTGATGGCCCCTCTGTGGCTGTGCCTGTCTTAGGTTGTTCCTCCCTTGAGGAATCTTACCCGTCATTGACTAACCAGCCATCTTCCGGGGCCAAATAGGGTGATGTGAAGTGTGCAAGGCATTGCCCCAGAGAGGGTTCTCTGTCTCCTGGATAGAAAATGCCCCTGTGGCCTCCATGCTGGCATTTACCTTAGGATCAGGAAACTCAGATTTCTTCTCCATGGAGGGCCCAGCTCATAGCACTGGGTTGGTGAGGCTGCATTCAGGAAGAAAGGAGAAAGGCCATAGACAAACAGTAATATTGTGACCGAACTGAGAGACATAGATAGATGAAAAGGAGAGCAGTGCTAAGACTCAGGGCATGATCCCTCATAGAAATCTGAACCCTAGTTTGTACTACTTAGATCCGATCCATAGCTGCCACTCATACGGATGCCAGGGAATCATTATTTTCTTTTTGACTTTCCTTACATGCAAGAACCTTGTTTTATCTCTACTTTGTTGAGCCTTTTTTGGAACCATCTTAAAAGAGCATATAGTAAAACAAGAAAAACTATGCCAATACCAGCAAGGATCCAATTAGCAGGGTCAATTAAAGCTGACAATTTATCCCATAGCCATTGTAAGATTGAGGGGTTAAGAATTAGCTTTGCTCTGGTTTCATTTAGGCTGAGAATCTGAGCATGCAGCATCATAGTGAAATTTCTAAAAGTCATATCCCAAGGTCCCTTAAGTCTATTTGCTAGTTCAAGCAGAGCTTCTGTTACATTTTTTATTGAGACAGGGGTTTGAAAATTATACAGAAATTGAGGACTGCAGGGCACTCTAACATTCAATTGAAGCCTATCAATTTTTTCATCAATAAGGTCAATCTGTTGTTGTTACATTAAGAGACATGGAGTCAACACACAGACACCTGGAGCTCATAAGAACTGGCAGGTAACAAACTTAGTTGACCTCCAGGCAAGCTCGTTTAATGCAGAAGTGATTACAATTGATATAGAATGCATCTTCCAATCATATGTAAGCAAGCAGGTTATGCAATTGCAGGTTTAGTCACTCCTGGGTGGTCAGGGATTTGATGGAGCACTCCCTGATTAATGGTTGCAGCATTTGTTGTAGACTGGGTCAAGGCTACATCAGCAGCAGTAGCTGCTACAATCGCAGAGAGGGAGGCAGCCATATGGCAGCAGTAATCCCCAAATCTCGCTTACCTCTGGGAAGGGAAATATCTTTTGTAAAATGAAACTTTTGAATGGAGGAGTCATCCTCTGTTGGAAACCATAACATGGGGGGTGTTCTCATTACCACTACTGTCTTAACTGAGGAATTCCAGCAATCAGTTAACTCACATTGGGAATTATTACAATAAAGATGATCCTTTTGTGGTTCTGAGTGGAGGCTACAAAGAAGAAGGGTGGCTTAACACATACATGGCCTTTAGTAGCATGTTTAGCTGAGGGTTTTTCAAAAGAGACATTAAACCTAATGGTATTCATGGTGACAATAAGACTCATATCTATACATTTGTAAGCACCACATAACAATTGTTTGCCTAATTGCAAAAAGTCTCCTGTCTGTCTTTCTTTTGTATTTTGAGCATTGGTTATCCAATCTGTATGATATTTAAATATTAATGTATTTGTTTCTATTGAAAATTCCATTCTCTGTCCACCTTTTGTATAGGGTCTGGACCAACTAATAAGCTCATCAGAAATGAGATAGGGTCTGGAAAGGGAGAGACAGTCTCTCCAAGATAGAGCTCTTAGAGGTATACCTTCACTGATATCTTTAAATTTTCTCCATGGAAATTGCTGCAGGAAGGGTTGGGGCCAATAATGTGAGTCTTTAGCATGAGGGGGCATGCCAGTAGGCAGATCACTGAGAGAGACTACTTTTGCTTCTCCTTCTAAGGAGAGTAGCCGAAAACCTATAATGCTTCCTATTCTTGGTTCCCAAAGAATATCTTTATGAAGGCAAACTGAAAACTGACATAACCTCTGTGCCCTAGACACATTTCTTAATGTAGCAAAGGCCCATAAATGATCAAGTGAGAGTGACATATTCCAAGGGTGCCTTGCTATTGGGTCAGATGTAACAGGGCATCTCAAGGAAATATCAGTAGCAAACAAGAAAGTATCATCCAAACCAACAGGTAAAAGAATCCTGGGAGATGGAGCCCCTACCCACCAAGCATGTATTTGCAGGCTGAATGACAGAATGATGCACAATAGCATAAAGGAGGTCCTTTTCTGTGTTGATGCAAAAGAAGGGGAAAGTCCAATTAAACTCCCAGCAACAGCATAAGTTGTTTCCAATCAGTTGGGTGTGGTCCTTTTGGTGGGGTACAGGAGAGCGGTAAGAGTGGTAGTTGCAATCGTGGCTGTGAGGACTGCAAGCCTTATGATGATGTTGATCCAGAGGGCTCCCGTTGTCCTTCTGAGATTTGTCCTTGGGATGCATTCTGCAAGATTTGAGAGATAAGTATGTAAAACATCCTGATCATAATTTATTGAGCGTGGATTGCTCTCATGGTTTTTTAATTGCAGGGGCAAGAGTATTTTGCTCACGGAAGGGTTTTTGCCACTAGATAATACTAGAGGCTCTCCACTAGAGGACAACTGTCCCACAGACAGCCATTCATGTGTTATAGCTGACTGCAAAGTAATTCTTCCCACACGGGCCATGCTTTGAAGTATGTTCATTTTGCTCTGACAGGCCAGCATGGGGCCTTGAGTTATTAGGCTGTTAGGCAGAGGCCTTTCTTCTTTCATACTTACCTGTTGTGCACTTACCTGTGAGTTGCAAGTTATAATTGCACACATAAGCAAGAAGTGTTCTGGTCTCCGGCAGGTGACATGGTCTGAGCTTGATCTGATAGGGCTTTGATATAAACTCAGGTTATCTTGTGTGCTGTCCAGTGGGGAGTCATGTTGATCTCTTCTTCTCCTTTTGGCTCGTTTTCCGAGGCCTGGCTGTCGGTGACTGATGTGGTCAATTGGTCACTCGGCTACTTCAGTCGCAGGGTTAGAGACACGGAGTCAACACACAGACACCAGGAGCTGGTGAGAGCTGACAGGTGACAACCGCAGTCGACTCCAGGAAAGCTTGTTTAATGCAGAAGTGATTACACTTGATATAGAATGCATCTTCCAATCATACATAAGCAAGCAGGTTATACAACATCTAGAAACCAATCATCTTATGATTAATGTAGCCGCACTATGAGGAAGCTCTAAATATTGCTATGTGGTGGAAGGCAGACTGGAAGATCATTGTTCCTGGGGGGGGGGGGCTTATGAGTTGGGGATTTCATGCCATGAAGCACCTAATTCTCAGTTTCTGGCCTTGTAGCTTGGCAATGCTGACCTCAAGCACTGAGATTGTGGTTTCACTGATGGCTCGCCAGAGCAGAGCACCCTGTCCTACAGGTGTTATTGTCAGGTCTGTACAAACAAGGGTTTTCCTAGCTCTCTGAGCTGCTCGTAGCAGCTAGCAGCAAACTGAAAGTTATTCCAACAAGTGTTGATTAAATGAAGGAAACAGTTATTTGATTTCTATTTCCAATATTTACTTGATAAGGTTTCCTGAGTTGATGAAGACTCTATCCTGGTCAATTCTCTGGTTTGTCCTTTGCTAGAATAAAATATGTTTAAATAACATTTTATGTGGGAATCACAAAATTTTCATAGATGATTTTGTATTTAAGGGTGAGTAAATTTTCTTCATGAGTTGAAAGGTTGAAAACATTCATGAAAGGAGAGAAAGTTTCAAGATCTGTATATTTGTTCAACTGCGTGATGCAGTCACTCTACAGGACTTTGAGCATCATGCAATGACTCTAAATTTCCTGTATGAAGATGACTTTCTCAGAGGTATTATTTATCTTTAAAGAGTACTCAGAAAAATACTTCAAATTAGGAAGTAGATATTCTATACAGTTTATTTGATTTTGTCATATGGTCCTATTTTAGTAATTTCTTTCTAATCCAGACAGAATTGAGGAAGAGAGATATTAAATACTTTTTCAGGAACTCTTAAATCTTGAAGTGATAAAGGATCTCTTTTTACACATTTCATTCACAAAGTGGAATATTTAAAGTTCTAGTTGTAAGGAGGATGTGTTTTAAGGTTGATATATACTGTGACATTGTTCAGATACTAAGAATCTTATGTGGTCATTGAGGATTATTGTTTATTCAAATCATTGAGCACATCCTGCTTTGTGATTTTTGCCCATTCATCAGGGATTTTACCAAGGTTAGTAAATTTTTTCTCATAATTTTCTTCTAGCTTTGATCTGAAGTGAGAGACAAACCATTTCCAGTATGGTTGGGTGGATGAATCTGGGGTGATGCTCCATGTGGCAAAATCCCCTCCTGCCTGCCGATATTTCTTATATAAAAATATCTGATCATCTCTCAAAATAAATGAAGAATCACTTGCTACTAAACTAGTACAACAATCAATGACAAAGTCCTCTGATTTATATTTATGCCATCCATTGATAGCCTGAGGACGATGAAATGAAACTCTGTGGTCTCCATCATGTTCAGGAATTGTGTTTGTACAAATTGCTTTACAGAATGGGCACTGTTTCCAGCAACCACAGAGATGTTCAGAGAGGGTTTTCTCAATTTCAGGAACCATTTCATCTATATTCCTACTTGAAAAAATTTCTTCTACTTTTTTCATTGCAGGATCCAAAGCTGCACTCATGGCTTCTTTGAGAAACTCCATATCTTTTATTTCCTGGTGCTCAATGCTTATCAAGTCTCTTCGAGGGAAGATCAGCTTGTTCCCCAGATAGTCACAGAATAAATCCAGCCACTCAGATGCAATGCTGCTTTTATTTTTAGCTACTGCTGTGGATTCATGAATGGCAGACAGGATGGCAGACTTGATGTCCTCCAAACTTGTTTTTAAAAATGTCTTTATATTTTTACCTCTGTTGACTGAAAAGTACTTTGTGGTTTTGTTTCTAATGTAAGTCCTGAAAAATGATTCTGGATTATGAATGTATTGCCAATAACTATCAAAATTTTCTTCTTCTGCTAGAGAGATGAGAATGTGTTTCTCCAGGTTAGCCCTGTTTCCATTGAATGCAGGGCAGGTAGCTTGTATGTCCCCAGTTATTTTCAGGGACATATTCCCCCATATGGTGTCAGAGACAGCAGGAGTGAGCTTCTGCCATAGAAAATCAACAAAAGACGTGATGGAGGTTGCACCTTGGCAGAAGATCTTGAAACTCATGAAAAAATCATCTTTCTTGTTTTCTAGATACCTTACAGGATCATTTGCTATTTTGAATGCTCTGTGCATTTCCTTAAAATGTTTTGTTGCTCTACAAAATAAATACCAACATAATTCAATTTTGTATTCACCGGTAAATATATATCTGTCCTTAGTGAGTGCAGAATTCACTTCATTTTCTACTACTCTCAGGATTTCATGGAAGTCATTTTGATGATAATCACGTTGGTGACTCCAAATGCTGTTAATAGATTCATCAAATCTTGAAAAAATGCGTTCAGTAGTCATATTAATGGGCACTTTATCACAGGCCTCTAAATTCTTTGAGAAAGTGCAATATTCTGGACAAATCTTGACATGTTTTACAAAATCTATTTGAAAATCCTCTCTAGTATTTCTCTTTATTTTTTCTACTATGTTTTTCTCCTTTTTGAAATGATCTAAAAGGATGTTTTCAGCATCCACATCAATGTTAGGTTCTATGGCTTGAGGGACATTTGAGGACACTTCACAGACCCATTTTCCCCAAATTTGGTTGAATTTCTCACGTAAATCTTCATCACTCAATTTTTCACCGTTGAAACTTAATGCCAATTTTTGGCTCCTATCCAGTAATTCATTTTGATATACCTTCTTTTTCTTTTCCAGTAGTTCTTGACTTTCTTTGAGACAAATAAGTTCATTGGCTTTTCTTTTAGTGTCCGAAATAAGTGACTCTTTAAGGACTAGCAGCCTATTTTCAAAATGGGTTTTCCATTGGATGAGTATATAGCTCTCTGTGTCTTCAGTAAAATATTTTTCAAATTCTTGCTTGATGGTTTCATATTTCTTTACAACTGGATCCTCAATCATGCTTGCTGTAAGTGTCAGAATTTTTCTATTCTGAATCTGATTGTGAAGCTGGTTCTGAAAGTCCAACATATGACTCCTGAGTTCCCAGGTCCAGTGGTTATACATGGTTTCTAGTTTGCTCATGGCCATGACCTCTCGGGTGTTCCTAAAACTGAAAATGAAGTTCTCATTTACCAGGGCTCTCCACAAATCTTGAACTCTGAATTTTACATCTGATATCCTCATGATACTTCCTCTGGATTCCTGTTTGGCAGTCAAAAGGATTCTACTTTTCAGTTCTTGGACATTGTGGCTATAGCGAGGATTGGGAGGGGCCATGGGGGGATTGCCCTCCCAGAGGTGAGCAAAGTAGTACACGTGAGTATTGACATCAAACTTGATGACGTCATTGAAGCAGGTTACATCTGAGCACTCTTCTTGTTTAGCAGCCAGTGCTGCCATTTCATCTAGCGTCTGCTCTAATTGCCTTCGTCCATCCATAGTTTGGTCTTTAGCTGTCACTTCTCCTACATTCTGATGCACAAATATGCAAGTTGGGGAGATTTTCACTTGTTTCATCCTCAGAAAGGCTTGGACAGCTATCTGTAGGATGTCTTGCATTTCTGATGGATTCTCCCCAAATATATTGATCAGAGTCAAGTTTGCAAGTCCAATGACAAAGGTGGCTAACTCATTGTCCCAATTCTGGGATTTGTTGCTGAGTTCTGGGGCCCGAAGTCCTTCTGTGTCTACAACCAGCACAAAGTCAAAGCCAAGTTCCTCTGTTGATGACTCATCCACCTTTAGGAGCTGCATGTAGGCCCCCCTGGTACACCTGCCTGCACTTACACTGAACTGCAGCCCAAAAAGAGCATTCAGTAGGGTGGACTTTCCAGAGCTCTGCAGGCCAAGGACAGAGAGAACAAAGAGCCGTTTGTCTCCCAGTTTCTCAGAGAGCTTGTCAAAAACAGCTGCCACCCACTTTAGGGGCACATAGGAAGTATCCCCATCAATCAGCTCTATGGGGACACCAGATGTCATCAGGTCTGCAGCAATTTGGGGAAGGAAGAGAAAAAGTATATCTCTTGTGGAAGAAGTTTCTTCCAGAGCTTCATAGATCTGGCCAATTTCTCTGAGAAATTGCTCAATTCCTAAGGTACAATTAATAATCTTGGTAGAGATGGATTCTATTCGATGTTGCAAGAGTTTAAAAGAGTTGCTGTCTTGGGATATTCGCTTTTCTGTTTGTATGTGTGAAAACAAATTAATTAATGTTTCATTCAGGTTTTTCAAATGCTCTGCAGTCAGGATATCCAAAAACATACTCATCCATTGTAAGAAGTAGAGTAAAGTGTGAGTTTCTGAATACTTGTAGAGAATTTGAAGCACAAATTTCATTACATCTTTTAGAGGAAAAGCTTTTTCCAATTGTTGTTGCCTTATTCTTTGTTTATCTGTCTCAATCTCACTCTTGTGTTGTTCAATGCTTCGATTCCCCTTTTCTCTTAGGTGATACATTTCTTTGTCCTTCTTACACCAAAGATGCCACAGTTGTCCCTGAAGGGGAAGGAAATTTTCCTTCACTTGAGTCAACTCCGTTTGTTCTAGGAGAGCCCTTATAATTTGTGCCTTTTTCTTGACTTCCTTGAAATCACTCTGGTCTTCATCAATAAAAAATCCTTTCTGGTAAGCAATATGACAACAGTCCTCTATGCTGAGAGCAGTGTCAGAGAACTTTAGCAAATGTCTGATGGCAGTTGTGAGTTCCTCTGTCAATTCTGCACCATTTTTGCTCTTCATACCAATTTTCACCTTTCTATCAGAATAATTGGACTTGGATTTTTCTTTGTCATCAAGCAAGCAGATCAATGATTTTGAGGACTGCCACAAGTCATTAACAACTGCTCGGATTTCTTCATTGTCATTAGAAGCTGACATGAGGACCACAATGATAGAAGAGACCTCCTGCAGAAAAGTGAGCTGCCTTTTATGTTCCTTTGCATCTCCATGAAGATTGGTGAAGGTCACACAGTTGTCAAACCTGTCTTCCTCTTCCCCACCAGGGCAGAACCAGCAGATTTCCACCACACCCCCCATCAAGAGGCAGTTCTTGCTGCTTTCTCTGCAGTATCGGTGGAAAAACACATCATGTTTGCATTCACTGAGAAGACAGTTCATGATCTGAGATTTGGAAGCTGACAGGCCACTGCCAACTCTAATAAAGGACACAAAGGGAGTGGAGACACGACACATCTGCTGACTTTGGTGACTAATCTTCCCTTGTGGTGATTCCCTTGCTTGCTGCCAACTTCGCCTAATTTGTCTGAGAGACCAGACAGAAAATTCAATTTGAGAAGTGCAGGGATTTGGCACCAGGAGGGGCAGGGCAAATTGACAAATGGAAAGTTTGGTTAAAATGTATTGTCTGGCAAAATCATCTGCACAGTGAAAGATGGCCATCTGAATATCCATGGGGTGAATGTGGGGCTTGGACTCAATGATCAAAGTATTAGTGGGATTATCATCATCTTCAAAAAAGTCTTCATATGGATTACTAGCTTCATTTTCCTGATTAGAAATACTTGGAGAGACCTGATGTTCTATGTTTCCATCCTCTTTGAAAACCTGGTATCTCAATCTATAATCCTGCATCAGTAGCTTCTGAAGGAAATAAAAGGGAAGTTCCTGTTCAGATTTGGGCTGAGTGTTGCACACAGAAGGCTTGTAGATCAGATGGAAGTCAGCTCTACTCATCCTTTTTGGGTAGTAATGTTCTAGGCCAAGACGCTGGAGTAAGTCCAGGAAAGCTCCATTTTCTATTATTTCATGTGTGTTATTTGTATTAGTTTCTGGTTCACAGGGCTGTTTCTTTTCATCAAGAAGACTTTGTAGCTCTCTTTTGACCTCATCCATTTTCACAGAAGAGATGGTAGCTTCATAATCTCCATCAATGAGTAGACTCAAGTCTCTTTCTAAGTTTTCCCAATCATGATCTCCCCCACATTTAGTGAGGACATGCACAACTTCTTCAGAAAATAATTGGTCCATATGTTTTGTTATAAATTCCATGCGTTTTGTCTTCTCTTCTGGTGAAATAACTGTGACACCAGCTGTGGCTGTCAGACTTGTGAACACCAGAAATGCATGTGCCCTGGAGCTAGAAGTGGTTTTCAGCTGCTGGTATTTATTGTAGGCAGTTTGCATTTTATCCAGAAGGAAGTTTAACTCATAATGGCTCAAAAGATGTTGAAAATTATTACTTTTCACCTGATATCCTGCACCAGCTGCAATGGAAAGTAACAAGAGCTGTGTGTCTGTCTGCTCTGTTGCTTGGAGGTGATTTAAGAAGCTGTTGAGAGCCAAGCTGACCTTATATGTGGCCTTTCTTTGAACTTTTTCAACTGATTCTGGAGACTCAGATTTTACCTTTACTTCCAAGACTTCATTTTGTGTATCTTTTATAATATTAATAAATTCAGAAAATTGGAAGCATTTGACAAGTTCTTCTTCTGACTCTGGCTGGTTGATCCAGTGCATAATGGAGTGATTCTGAGGAAAGTTTTCCACTTTGTAGATGTGAGGATCAAGAAGAATACCCAACAGCATTTTAATACATTTTGTTTTATAATTGAAAGACATTTTGCAAAAGTTGACAGTATTGACTAAAAAGGTCTGCAGATCTTTATCTGTGAGGCATAGATTAATCCAAGTATCATCACCTTTTGTTTTTTGACTCAATATTTGCATGAAATCTATCATTTTTTGAAGTTGTTTTTCAGGATCAGACACCACCCAGGACTTCACACCATCTAGGAAAACTCTAACCTCTTGCCTAATTTTCAGTAACTCCTCTCCCTCTTGGATCTGTGCGGAGAAACCAGTCAGAGAAGTGTAATTGTCTCTCAGGCAGTTAGCCATCTTAAGGGGATCCGTAAAATCACTTCTGTATCTGGAGAGGATGATGTCCCAAATGGGTACCAGTTGAATTCCCCGATCAATGACACACCACGTTTGATTGCTGGCAACAAGGCCAGCTTTCCATTGAGCAAGGTCATCTGCTTCTGGTGGTCCACCTGTCTTGGATACAGATAATTGGAATTTGGTTTGGAGATTTTGGAAAGTTTTGTTCTGAGTATCTGCTTTTGAATGTGAGTCTGACACATTCATACCTGCAGCAACATTCGCTCCAAAGCCACTGTAGCCACAACTTATGTAAATATTCAGGGTTTCTATTGCCTGCTGCTTTATATCAACAAGCTGATCACTTTGGAACCCCTTTGAGACAGCCTTCCACCAGTAGATTCCTCCCAGGTGCAGAGGGCCTTGGTTAGCATGAGAGCCAAACCTGTGGAAGAATCTTTCACTCCACTGTTTCAGCACCTGGGATTCCTGAGGGTCTGTAGTCTGATCCAGAAGGTCTTCAAGGCATTTCAATTCCTGAAGAGCAGCATGGGACAACTGGAGTTGATCAATGGGGAAGTGGCAGGCTGCCATGGGAGTGTATCTGAACTTGGTTGAGCAGAAATAAGAGCACTCCGAATTTGTTAGGTGGGTTTCCTTAGATTCTGAATGTTTACTTTTATCCAGTTCAGTTTCTAAACTAAATCCCCAACCTCCACCCATGGCTGAAGTAGTTAAACTGAAGCCTAAATTCTCCATAGACTGGGTGAACATGACTTCTGCTTGAGAAGATGTAAATTCTTCAGATTTCATCAATGTGCCCTGCTGAGTTCCAAGGAGTGAGAACTCCTTGGGGACACTGAGTAGCTCCTCTCTCCTCTGTATCAGGTCCATGTGGTGGCAGGTTTTGTATATTCCCTGCAGGGCCAGCCCTCCAGATGCCCATCTTACCAGATCTCTATCTGGGAGGTTTGGCCTGTGGGATGACGTCTGCTCCGTGGGACTGAATGTTCTCTTCATGATTTCCATGACTTCCCTGAGGGGCTTTGGAGGCTTCAGCCTGTTCTCTTCAGGGATCTCCATGGCTTGCCTCAGCTTTGCTTCCTTTCTCTTCACTGCCTCTTCCTGTCTCTGTCTCCCTTCTGACAGCAAGTTCCTCAGCTCTTTCACTGCTTGTTCTGCCTGCTTCTCCTTTTTCCTCTCCACTGGTGACTCCTGTAACTCTGCAAGACTATTTGAGTGGGACAGGTCAAGCAGCTTCTCCAGGGCCCTTTTCTCCCATGGATATTGTATCTGGGATTTCAGCTTCTGGAGGTCTTTTCTTTTTAAATATTGTAATGACTGGGCACAGGTCACACCCAGGACTTCCTTCAGCTTGATCAACCAGTACTCAACTCCCAGTCCCACTTCTCTGAGCAGCTCTGGAAGATCTTGCCTCCTTTTGCTTCTGAGGAGAGGCTCATCAGGGGTCTGCTTGCTTGTGTCCATGGCTGTGTGAAAAAAAGACATTCAGTTAGTGTTCACTGGGTCCTGAGATTAGGAAGTGTCAGCCACATGATGAAAAGTATGAATGTATTAGTAAAGCTAGTCTCCAAGGCCTTCTCATCCCTTGCTTTACTTATTCTAAAATTTATTTTTCATCAAAATCTTTCTGTATATTTTCTAGACATCATTGACTGTGTTTTCAACATAGACTTTTTAAAAATTTTCTATGGTGAATTGAAACTTAATGGCCTAATTTGAACACTTTACACCCTAACAATTTCACTGAAACTATGAGACTGAGGCATGGAGTGTGAGAATATCCATGAGTTTCTCAGCTTAATGTTTATTTTTTAAACTAGAGCAATATCAACACTTAGTTGTCTTTCTACTATTTTTTTTTCTTTGAATTACTTCATTCCTATCACTCTGTCAGTTCTTTTTAGGATATTTAATGCCTATTTGTTCTCTTGTCCTTTAAAATGAACTTCTAACATTTTTTACACTTCTAGATCACTACTTTGTTTCATCTTTACTGAGTTAATACTGTCTTTCCATTATATGAACAATTATTTATATATGGATGTCATTCAAATATATGTATATACATCTCCACACTCTCCTCAATCTGGATTTTATTAGTGTTCTGCACCCACTCCATCTTCAGCACATATCCTTTGATTGTAGATGAGATATAGTTTCATTTCTTTCAAGTTTATACATTATTCAGGTTTTTTTCCTTTTATTCTACCTATCCCATCAATGGCACTAGCATCCCTGTTCAATGAGTATCCTATACACTTGTCTTCCTATGAATGTAAATTTATTACACCGTGTCTTTTTAACCTACCCCATTAAGTCTCTCTTTTTAGTTAAATTTTTTTTATTGGTTTTATTTTTTAAATACCTGACAGCGGAATGCATCACAATTCTTATTACACATATAGAACAATTTTTCATACCTCTATTTGTATATAAAGTATGTTCACATCAATTCATGTCTTCAATTCAATTACATGTACTTTGCATAATGATGTCTATCACATTCCACCACCCTTGCTAATTCCTGCCTCTCCCTTTCCCTCCCACCCCTCTTCCCTATCTAGAATTCATCTATGATGCTCTCCCTCCCATGCTCTCCCTCCATACCCCACTATAACTCAGCTTCCTTATATCAGAGAAAACATTTGGCATTTGTTTTTTTTTTTTTTTTTTTTTTTTGGTATTGGCTAACTTCACTTAGCATTATCTTCTCCAATGCCATCCATTTTGATTTTTAAATTTTTATTGGTACATTATAATTATATATAATAGTGAGAGTAGTCATTATGCTTATTCAAACATGCACATAATTTGATCAATCTCATTCATTTATACCTTCCTTTCCCATAGATCCTCCACTGATCTACTTGCTCTACTCTATTGATCTCCCCTCTATTATTATTATGATTGTTGTTATTATTATTTTAATTAGTGTAATATAAAAGGTTCAGATTCTTTGTTGTGGTATAGTCATGCCTGGGTAGCTTAGTCTGATAGATTTTGTTCTCCAGTACTACCCTATGCCATCACCTCTTCCTCTCCTCTTTCTCCCCTCTATCTATTCTATTGTTCTCACATCTATTTTTATGAGATCCTTTATTTAAGATTCATTACTTTTTTTCTCTCTGGCTTTCTCTAGGCAGAGACAACATTCAATCTTTGCCTTTCTGGAGCTGGCTTATTTCACTTAGCATGATGTTCTCAATTCCATTCATTGACCATCAAATGACATAATTTTACTTTTCTTTATGGTTGAATAAAAGTCAATTGTGTATATACTGCATTTTCTTTATCTATTTTCCTGTTAACAGACACCTAGGCTGACTCAATAACTCGGTTATTGTATTGTGAATTTCACTGCTCTAAACATTGGCATACATATATCACTCTAGTATGCTGATTTTAGTTATTTTGGATAAATAGGTGTGGTACACAAGAGTCATATAGTTATTCCATTCCTAGTCTTTGAAAAATTCTCCATACTACATTCTTAAGTGTATGTACTAATTTACCATTTCAACAATAATATATAAATGCATATTTATAAATGTATTGTTTTCCCTCACATCCTCATCAGCAATTATTATTTGTATTCTTGATGTTAAAACTCCTTTTATATATATTTCTTTTCATTCCCTACACACAGTCTTTTAGATTTTTCTTTCACTTGAGATAAATTTGCTATGCCTTGGTCTATGCCTTAGCAAATTGGTAAGTCCTATGTGTGTATGCCAAGACCCTTGAATTTATACACCTGGTTCTCCTTCACTGAAACATCTCATATCTCTTTGTGGGGACATATGTGAGTCTCAGGTGCAGGAATTATAATTCAGTGGGAGTAGGGAAACTATGTAATTTGTCCTCATCTAGTTGGTCTGTTTTAAAGGTTTCCAATTTGTTAGCCTTGATTTTGGGAATCCCCTTTATGGGCTGGATATAAGGTGTCCTCCAAAATATCATGTGTGAAACAATGCAAGAAAGTTAGAAGTGAAATGATTGGGCTATGTAAGCCTTAACTCAATCAGTGACTGAATTCCTTGATTGAGATTAACTGGGTGGTAACTGAAGGTATGTAGGGTGTGGCTGAAAGAGCTGGGTCATTGGGGATGTGACTTTGGGATATATATTTTGTCACTGGAGAGTGGAGTCTCTATCTTTCTCTCTGCTTCTTGTTGTTCTGTTCTCTACCATAAACGTCAATCCTGACATTCTGTTTCACTGCAGGACCCAAGGAATAAAGTAGGTTGTCTAAATACTTAGAATTCTTAAATTGTGAGGCCCCAAAATAAAATTTTCTTCCTCTAAAATTGTTCTTGCTAGGTCTTTTGGTCCTAGCAATGATAAGGCTGACTAAATCACCCTCCTTGTCTATATATGTGCTTTTGTTATATCTGTTACTGGCCCTTGAAGATATGGGCAACACCATGTCCATTTTTGCTAGTGGTCTCTAGAAACGAGTTTGGCTCAATGGGTCACATAAAGCTTTAAAGTTTGACGAAGCAAAAGATGCTATGTTACTTTAACACAGTCTGAAAGATGCATGATTTGGAAAATGAGAAAAGATTGCTGTTGAATATTATTCTGAATTATTATAAAATATTGCACTTGTAGTTGTTCTGCCAGAAGTCACAAAAAGGAAGGACATTTTGTATATGCAGGCATTCATATTTATGTAATTACATGATAAATAATCTGAATGACTTGGAACTAAGATAATGGTGAAAAACAAAAAACCCACAGTCTTCAGTGCAAAAATATAGCAGAACACCAAAAGGAAAAATTAAGAAAGCAATAAATCATTTTAACTCAATTGCAGCTGGCTGGCACTTCATCTTGACCTGCTTCTAGCACTGGCCCTAGGTCCAGGGAGTTTTGGGTTATCCCTACTGGAAAACACTGTTTGGAGATGCTGGCCTCAGACTAGAGGAAGAAGCTGGGGAAGCTGAGTAGAATGGGGAGAAATAATTTTTGAGTAGGGGAGGTGCGACTCCAAAGGTCTGAGCTTCTATCCTAACTTCAAGCCTGCCCCTGCCTCAGGCAGACTCTCTTCTGCCTGCTGGTTGAAGAGAATGTGGCAGCAGTAGAACCCAGGCTGCTGGCACCTAGAGGTTATGATCTGGGGATGGGAATGGTTTCCCCTTTTAATAACTAATAGGTTACTTCATTTGGCCAAACATCCAGCATTGGGGCAGGACAATGCTGGCTATGGCAGTACCCATTTGTATAAATGTGTAAGGGGATGACCAATATAAACAATAGCCCAGGAGGAATATAGACACCCAGATTTTGTTCAAGAACTGATGTCTAAAATATAAAAATTGTAGTTTTTTTCTATCAGACTTAGAGATCTAGAGTGAAAGGCAGGGACAATCATATAAGACAAACAGTTCTAGGGCCCAGCTTCAGCTGCATGTGGAGCAGCAGGGACCTTGCCTCTATGGGAAAAAAAGGAGGAGCCTCAATTAGTGGAGCCCTCATAAGGCTAGACCAATAATGGCTCAAAGGTTAAAGATCCAGGGGGAATGGCCTAATGGGGATGATTCAAATCTGCTCCTTGCTACAAACAGGTATTTGTATACTACCATGAGTTCATACACCCCAGCACAGCTGGTAGAGTTGGGGTCCAACTTCAGGCAGAAAATGAGAAAGTATACCAGCATGAACACTGGAGTCGACGGGATAAAGTTGAATGGTATCAAAGTGTATAAAATGACTTTATTAACTCCCCACCCTGCTTACATTGGCACCTTTACTGCAGTGCTGCTGATGAATGTAGGGTCATTAGTAACTTGACATCTTCTTTCTACTCAGAAATGTCAACAAATTTAGGCGATATAATAAAAGAAGAATGCATGGCTCCCTTGATAAGTCTTTGAACAGTTGTTTGTGGGAGAATTAGGTGGTAAAGGTCAGTATTCAAGGGTTTGAGCCATGTCTCGGCACTAGAGGCCTTATATAGAATTGGCAATACACTGGTCTCCAAAAAATATTTGGAGAGTAACAGCCTTTGTGTACATAGGATCTAAATTCATGTGGATATATGGTAAGGTTAAAAAATTCTCACATGGGTTAACTGCTACTGATGAATACAGTGAGAGTTTGAGCCATAGCCCTAATGCTATGGTTTAGAAATCTGTTGCTCACTCTCTTCCTGGTGCTCATACTTCCCATTCCTGAATGTAAGGTAATGTTGAATGGTATAATATTATTATTATTGATGTAGGGTAAATGCCTTCAAATTATCTTAGGTGAGTTCTGTCTGTATTGTTGGGAGATTAAGCCCATGTTAGCTGGAAAGCCATTTAAAGGGGGATGCAACACATCCTCCCACTGGTTGGGTAGTTGCCACCAAATGATACTTGGCTAATGTAAACATAATTTGCCCAACTGACAATCCTTTTAATTTCCATATGTGCCTGGTAAGAAATACAGATGGAATTTGGAGCACTGTCATAGATTACAATAA